TTAATAATATTTTAGCTATTATAGTTATTTATTTTTTTTTTAATTGAACTTAAGCCCGACAACTAGGGCCTTTAGCTGTTTGTAGGGGTTATGAACTGTGGTAGGGGGTAAGGTTGGTACGGTATGTTATATTTTTACGATTGTTACGGTTGATAGCAAACACGTGTATGTGTGGCAAGGTTTTTAACCACTTTGATGATCCCGAGTGGTCACCCATCCGGAAGTTAGAAGCTGTGGTCGTTACTTACTCTCAGTTGCATTCCACAACTAGAATCAGCCAACGCGCTACGCCAAGCCTCTTATTTATTTTATTATTAGTTTAATTGTTATTTGTCGAAAATATTGTGTTTGTTTAATTATAAATATTTAATTATTACATAATATATTTTTATGTCATGAAGGTAGGTAATAGCTTGTAAATAATTAAAACATTTTGAAAATGCAATTTCGATATACCTAAAATATAATAACATTCGTAAAAACTATGTCCTCACGAATAATATTTATGAAAAAAATATAAACATTTATTTATTTAAATATCTAGTTCCGTCTAAATTTGAACATATAATGTCAATATAATAAAGTTATGCTTAAATAATTTTTTGATTTTAGATTTCAGTTCGAGCTACTTATGAGAAACCTTGTAATAGATTTTCAAGCATGTCTATGATAAATTAATATTCAATGAATTTTTAACTACAAAATAATTTTTACGTTTTGGTGATTTTCCTAAAAATTTAAACTTTTAAACATATAATTTTAGTTTTTATATTGAAACTTTAAATTTAATTTAGTTTAAATTAACTTTTATTCTTCTTGAGTTAAATCATAAACACAAATAAATTATGAAAATAATGTTATGATACATGAATATTTTTAATATAGTTACCTAATCTATTGGAAATTGAAACCATTAATTATAAATAATTATGCTATTATGTACTTATTAATTATTACACTAGTGTTTTGATCAAACGTTCTTGATGAAAATAATATTCCATTGATTATTTCGAATTAAAATAATTAATGGATTATTATTACTATTACATACATTTTGTTTTAGGTTATAAGACTATGCCACTTATCAACAGTAAACATTTAATGTAAATACTGAACTTTAAATAGGTACTATTTCAAAAATATTTATTTTACTTCATTTTGGTTAGGACAGTTGTCTCTGAGCACAATTGACATTTAGACTATGGGCAAATATAATATGCAGTCATGTCGTTAAGAATTCCACAAGTACGCAAATTGCCAATAATGTGTTTGTGTATGATTGGAGAGAAGTCATTGAACTAAAAAAATAAACGATTTAAAGGCAGGATGTCCGTGACTGAGAGGCTTATAAATCTGTTTTTTCACTATACTGATTCAAACCATATATATCTATGCAATCTCTTACATTAAGTTTATATTATATATGCATAGCGTGTCATCGTTATTGTCCTCATCAATAAATTTTATCTTTTAATTGATAACTAAAGTTAAGTCGGAAGGTTCAAAGTTCATACTCGATAAAATTCATTCAATTAGAGAAGGGAATTATGATTGATGTATTATTCATTTTAAGATAAATTGGAAAAGTGGGAACATGCATACTGACAATATTTGGGATTACAGATAAGGTTTGAAATAATTTAATATAATGTTATTCATCTGAAGTAAAAACACAAATCGGTGGTATGAAGCGTATAAAATGTTCAATTTGGAATTGGGAAGCATGAACGTGTTGGACTTTGAATTTGTACACGAATTTAACGATTGTGTAATTAGCTAACAACTCGCGAACGTATAATAATTGATTATAATATTAAGTGAATCCTATGACTCTAAAATACTATGATAGTATTTACATATTTACATTACATAGTTATTATTTAATTATTCGTTGTGACGCTGTATGAAACACAGATGTAACATGTAACTAAATATACATAACATGTATTACATAAACACGCACGTATGGTGTATCAATTATGGTTAAAATGTCCGTGTTTCGAACGAATACTTTCAATCTGCATATGATTAATATACAGTTCAAAATAGATACAAAGAAAAAAGACTTGAGTTAAGGAGGTTGCCATTCAAACATTACTTAAATATTAGGGAGTAGGACATACCTACAATTTGAGAATATGTCGAAGTTCAAGAGGTCTTATGTTGTTGGAACGATTTCTTCTTTATATGGTTAGCTACTAACGTGATTCTTTTGTTAAGGTAGATCTATAGTTATCGTGGTAACTATTTGTTAATTAAACCATATTAATATATTATTCTTAAGTATAAATATAAATGTATAGCTGGTCGGGTACTAGGTATCGGTACTGATAGGAAAAAATTGCTTTGGGGGCTTGCTTGCATTTATTTTAGCTCCCCAAAAAATTGTACCGTCTGTACCCAGACAGCCTCGATGCAAAAAAATCTAAGTGCCTCTTATTTATAGAAATAAAAATATTCAGTATTCCGAAACTGCACTTTTTTAAAGTCTTTAGCCGACAGAAAGGCTCTATGCACATTAAAGACCTAATTGCTGCGGCCATATTGCTTTCATTCGCCTAATTACGTCACCATAACTGTACTCATCAGCAGGACCGCATTGGCGCAGCGAGTTATCGAGTAAAACTTGACCGTCAGCTCAAAGTATGGAACGGTTATGAGTTTAAGTTGTAATTTTGTTTTTTTTTTTTATAATAATATTATAAATTGGTACAAATATTGGTAGAAAATATAATCGAATCGAATTTATTTAACCGTATGGTAGTTATAACTGTAATCAAATGTTAGAAATCTTAAAACTCAGTAGGTCAATCCAACGCTGCCCACCAATTTTGTAGCTCCTTTAAGCGAGTTTGAATTAATTCGGAGGTTCAGATTAGATCGCAGTAGACATTAGTTGAGATATCATCAGCAAAGGTAGTCAAAATAGCATAATACAAGTAGCTGTGTGGGCCAGAATATCAGAAGTGAATAAGTTGTACCTACCTACTTGAGTCGTAGTGCTATTTGTTTCTTAATTCTTAAGGGTATTTTCCACGGAGCAATCTAAAACGTTGCCATTATCAAATAATGAATAAGCAATAATTTTAAAGCAACGATATTTTAAAACATTATTCAAGTTATACAATGACATTACATAGTTTGTTCGTATCACACATACAATTAGATACAATAAATACGACTAGAACAAGCGAAAGTAATCCGTAGGATTTTTGATTTGATTCCATATGATTTTTAAATACCATTCTTATATCAGTTTTTCATGTACTTGTCTGTGTCTGTTACAAATGAATACTACTTATGTATCATTAACTAATTATTCCTTTATTTAGGATCGAAGAGAGTATATAAATGGATATTTTACCTATGCAAGTACTAAATAAGCAAACATTTTAGGTAAGTACTGCTTGATACCAGTGGTACAAAGGTTAGAGACGATTAATTTTGTACGACCCTTAAGCATACCTATTCATCGAGGCTTAATGCGGTCGACATTCAAACTGCAGTGAGATATACACAGAAGCCACACACAGTAGCGTGCTGAACAGTTTTTCAGACTTGAGGTAAACTATAGGTACCATTTGACTACTCGTGCAGCCATGCGTCCACAGATTTCGACCCACATTTTGTTTCTACTTAAATATATTATTAAAAACTTTTCGTCGCACATAATCCATTGCCCGGTGCCTGCCTGTACTCGTTCACCCGTTTTGGTGTTAAAGCGATCGCTTCAAAAATGCCTGTACTTCGGCACGCCACTGGTCGCGCAGACACGTAGTTTAATAACGATTAATGGCTGCACACGGTGAAGTGATCGCGGTGGACGATCGGTGACCCGTTCCTCCTCCGCCGCCTAGTGTGACAACAGTAGAAATCATCGGGTCTTCCTAGAAAAAAAACGTACCTACCTACATCTATCGGCGCAGTACGTTTATCAGACGTTCTCCTGCAACTGCGAAGGTATACACACAGAATAATAATAATTATTATACGATATTCTATATTATATTATGACGGTTTCGGTCTTGGCGAACAAACGGTTTTGCTGGTCTCTCGCCTCTCCTCAATAGTTTTTATGGTTTCAACGGTTTATGCATCTGTGTCGTCTTCGTCAATCGCACATTTATAATAATAAATTACGATCGCAACGAGTAGCGCTCGCGTAAAATATTACATTTATCGCCGACGCAGCTGCGGACCGACGGCCGCGAGTCTACCGGCCGGGAGTCGGCCCTGTCGGCCGAAGGGGGTCATTGGACCGTCGCCGGCTCCGTGTGGGCGCGATCCGCGCGATCACATAACAGTTTCATAGATTGAATATGTTTAAATGATGTGTTACGACGGCGGGCGGCGGGTGGCGGCGCAGTACAGACTGCGGACGGAGTTCGATATGAACGGAACACACAATATTATAATATTATTAAATTTTATCAAACGATAATCAGATGCATCGATGCGCCGGTGCGCGCACATACGGCGCGTGTCGGGCGCGCGCCGGCGATTTGTATTTCAACGTCTTCAGTTTTCACATTGGCGCGGACCGCCGTACCGATTGCACGTCGTGTCGTCCCGCGCGCTTTACCGCAACGTCGTCGTCCACGCCGCATACGCGCGCTCCATCTCCGCCGCTTAGGTTCGCCCGTGTGCTTCTGCGGGTGCTCCTGCCGGTGATTCGACTTGTCCCGCGCGCGTGCCGCCGCATCTGTTTGCGTGTTTTCGCGTGGCCGCCGCCGCCTGATGCGCCGCGGCCCGACGAGTACCGCCGCGGCCCGCGCGCCGCGGCTGGCCTGCGCGACGGTGGTGCTGCTGCTGTTGCTGCTGCTGGCGGCCGACGCGGAGGCCCGCCGTCACGATAGACTGCGCGTCCGGCCCGGGTCGACGGTGGCCGCGGACGGGTCAGCCGACGCCGGACGCGGACGCCGCCGCGGCCAAAGCCACGGCCGCGGCCGGCGCCGCCGAAGACTCGACGACGCGCGAGACAGAGCGCATACGAAGGGGATTCGCGAAGCGGGCCGCCTCCGCCGCCGCCGCCGCCGCCGACGACGACGACCACGGCGAAAACGTTCCCGTCTGCAGTCGTTCCCGACCACCGCCGTACGATATTTTCGTCGCATTATTTTATTTGATGACTCGCGATATTAAAATTGTTGTGATTTCGAGTGGTACGACCCCTTGGGGTGGGGGAAAATGCCGAAAAGGCATACGTCACGATTATATTATATAATTATAATATGATCACAACGGTTTCCGTGCAAAACGGTTTTAATGTTTGTCTCACGAATTTTGTGATTTTAAAAGGGGAAGGGGGAGAGTGAAATACATATCAGAAAAAAATGGTCTCTCGCAACGGCACGATTTCCGGAAATATGCGATGTATACTTACAGTCGACTCTCGATGATTCGAGGTTGGCGAGACTTGAACGATTTCGAATTGCCGAGTAGTTCAAATTGCCGAGCAGTTCGAAATATCGAGAGCGAAAAATAAATTCGAATTACCGAGAGTTGAGAAAAAAAATTTGTTTTTTTATTATTGTACGTGCTGTATATTTACACATAAAATTTCACCAGATTGGGTGGTATAGTAAATTATCAACAAAAAGGTTATGAGAAATGTGTTTGTCGAGTAAACTTCGAAATTTCGAATTACTGGACGTTGAACAGATGAAACTTCGAATTGTCGCGTTTTAGTGGCCAGTTTTCACAAAATCTGATTTCGAATTGCCGAATGTACTTAAAAGAACGGTATTTATAAGAATTACCGCGAGGTATTCAAGAGAACGAGCACTTACTTCGAATTACCGAAAGTTTCGAATTATTGAAGGTTTGAATTATCCAGAGTTGATTGTACATAATTTACGCACAATACGTGTGTTGTGTTATGCTGCACAATACGAGACGAGAGATTGTTGTTATTACTGTTAGTATTATTATTTTCGATCTCCTGTACCTACCTATGATTTAGAAAAGTGTGACTTTGTGACTCGATGACGTCTTGAAACAGAGCGCCCGTGACATAAAATATATAGGTACACAGCGTGTGCTTTACTATAAATATTAAAGTGTACACACGGCAGTAGTGGTGTAACGGCTAGATGGGAATTGCAGGTTTCCGCGAAATTTCAGGAAAATTTAAAAATGCTTTCGATTTTCTGTAGACGTATTACGTAAGATGCAACCATGTATTCAAATTGTAATAATTTTTACGTACGGATAATGTACTCGATGTCTGAATTGTTTTATATTATAGATTATCACTTCATTTGAATTTCGTGCTAAACTTATGAGGAATATTAATTAAGACACCCTTACTTTAAATATTATTATTTCTTTTCTCATTACATATTGAATAATATTAATTAACAATAATAAAGCAAGAACGCATTAGATTTTTGTCGATGACATAAAATATATCCCGACACAAACATCTAAATTGTCATTTGAATGAAATAGATTAAAGTTTTATATACCTATCTATTAGTTTTCCATTGGAGTGACACATCTTACTTTAAATGTATTATTTTAAAACATAAAATCTACTATTATCGTATAATATTAGATAAATTAATAGCTACTTAATCAAAAAGTATTTGAATTAATTTGCATGTTTAAAAATTAAAAAAAATCGTTACTACCTATATAAAATAATGATTATTAGGTTACACTAATAAACATATATTTAATGTTCACTTTTATGCTTATTTATAAAACATCGTGTAAAATTATAAATAATATGAGAATAATAACAATAAATATTATACATCGATAATTTATAATAGGTATTTAAAAAATTGTTGTTTTTAGTTTACAATTAATGAATAGGATAAGATAACAGAAAAAAAAAATAATACTTTTCTGTGTTTTTCTTGAATTCTGTATAAATCTTGGACACGAAATCAAATATTTATTTTCATATCTACAAATAATTACTATTTATTGAATCGTTAATTAAATATTTAATTTTCTTGAGTAATATCTCCTAGTATTTAATGAGTAATAAGAAGAAAAAAATTGAAAATACTATTGTGTATTAAAATAACGTTGTTTTAGGTGAATCAATGAATAAATCTTCGTTGGACTCATATCTTCCAACTTCGCTACCACCTATACAGTCACCTTACGATATTCAACCCACAGAACCCGATCAACCGGAACTGTATCCAGATGGATATAAAGACGATCTAACGACTCAACGATCTGATCAAGAACCAGAAACACCGATTTATCCAACAGAAATACCGGATAATCCTCAAGAAAGACCAATAGATACACCGGAAGAACCTCTGGAAAGGTCGGAAAACCCAACAGAAAGACAAGGAGAGCTTCCCGAAAGAACAGAAGAAACTACAGAAAGACAGGAGGAACCAACAGAAAGACCAGAAGAATCTACAGAAAGTCCAAATGAAATCACAGAAAGACCAGATGAACCTATCGAAAGGCCAGAAGAGCCAATGGAAATACCAGAAGTGCCCGTGGAAATACCAGAAGAACGTACTGAAATCCTTGAAAAACAAGTTGAAAATCCCGAAGAACCTACCCTAAAATTAGAAAAACCTGCAGAAATACCAGAAGAATCTCAAAGATTTGATATCACTGAAATGCCGTATACAACTAGAACACCAGAATATAGTACAATAATTAGGAATTCATATATTCCACCCCGACCTGTAGAAGAATTTACTAGTGAACCGCCATTTAAACAACCAATGAAAATTACACCATATGGGTCGTCATTTAATAAAACCGTCACGAACAGAAAACAAGAGTTTATTAAAGAATCTCAAATTTCCATAGATAGTAATTTCCAACAAGTATTAGGTAAGTTCATTAAAACAACTATAATTTCAAATTTGTATGATATATAAATATATAGGTATATTATTTTATAATTTTATTTCTTTTTTTAAAGCAACAACAATAGCGCCATTCTATTCAGTACCACTTACTCGAGTAAGTACCAGCATGATATAGTTAAATAGTTTTATACCTAAAATACTAAAAATACCACACTTAAAATATTAACTTTATAAATATTGAAACGAAATATGTGGTTTAAGGTGATGATTAAAGAATAAAGAATGTTTTACATTACCTGTAATCATAGTTATATTTTAATATAGCGTCGTTAATTTAAAATGCATGTTCGTTTTTTATAACTAGTGTCATTACGGAACTATAGTAAATAACATCTAACTACATTTGTATGATATAATTGCTTAGGGAGAACCAGGCCTTCAAGGCGAACCAGGAAAACCTGGACAACATGGTGATCGAGGTGTCCCGGGTACACCGGGAGTACCAGGTTAATAATTAATATACGTATATACGTAACGTTTCTAACATTATCATTTATTTTCATGTTAAAATCCTTTGATTTATATTGCTAAATTATGAAATAGACCTTTAATTAAAAGTAAACATATGTTTAAGGAATGCCTGGACTTCCCGGACCTGTTCCGGATGTTAGCACATATTACCAGCAATTAGCTCAAGTTCACGGAAATCTAGATAAAGGTCCTATAAATAGTGGTTATCCGCCAGAAGCATTTCACACTATGCAAGCACAAGTTGGTCCGGTTGGAATGAGAGGACCTCCTGGTCCTCCAGGACCTCCTGGGCCCCAAGGTTTCCAAGTATGATTTAGTTTTTAACTTTTTAATACTATTAAACAAAATATTTATTTCGAATTTTCTTTATTTAAAAAATGATTTATATTTTATAAGGGTCCTCGTGGAGAAACTGGTGATATAGGTGCTCCAGGCCCTGCTGGCCCAATTGGGCCCAGAGGTATTCCTGGATTACCCGGTAGGGATGTAAGTATACATTGCAAGCATACCGAATACATGCTCAATTCATAATAAATATATATTTTATTAAAATTGAAAATATTTAAAGGCATTTAATATTATTATTTTATAAGATTTTATATGTTAGATGTATGAGTTGACTATAGGTAAATTATGTGTAAGTTATATTAAATGTCTTAAAATAGTTTGTATATAATTATCTTAGGGCGAGCGAGGCCATGATGCAGAACCAGGACAACCAGGCACTATTGGTCCTGCTGGACCTAGAGGTTTACCTGGAATGCCAGGTATACCCGGAATGAAGGTATTTAATACACACACACACTTATATATATATATGTATTCGTATTACCTTAATGTTTTATTAAATTCAACGTATCCAACTATGCTTTTTTATTGCACTTTTATTTCTACTTTAAAGAAACTTCTATAACTACACCCTGAAAATCTATTTATACTTAAATCTATTTAAAATGTAAATATTTTTTTAACTTTTAAAATATTAACATACATTTCATGTTCGATCTACAAAATCAGTAATCACTTACAATTTTACAAAAAATATGATAATAAAAGTTATTTTTTTTTTTTATTTTGAGTTTGAATGAATAAATCAAAACGTCTATAAGTTATAATTTCAGAAACTTGTCAAACGCCAAAATAATGAAAAATGTGTTAGATTCAGATTATTGTTTTATTAAATAAAACACTTTGTTTAGTGCAAAAACCCGTCAAGTATCGAAACTCTATGGTTTTTTGGTCAAATAATGTGTTTAGTTCAGAAACCTATTAATAAATGGCATTTGACGAATTTCTGCAGCAAACTGGGAATTTTAAAATTTGCATTTAACGGGTTTCTAAAATAATCGATTCAATTATATGGGCTTTTAAAAAATTAGTTTCTCTAAATCAGTTTAAAAATATTGATTGCAAAGAAAGATATTTACAGGGAAAAACATGGTGAAAATGCGATACGCCGTTTACATAAAAATTTTAAATTAATTATGTAATAGTGAGTAAAAAGAATTGTATTGTATTTATTTATATTTTTAAATTATAGGGTCATATTGGTTACCCTGGCGTCGACGGTGCAAAAGGCGAACAAGGTAATATATGAGTAACTTAAAACTATTGTTCGTGCTGTAATTTATTGTTATTTTTAAAGAATTTTTTTATTTACATTATTATTATCACTAAATTAGTTTATACGGAAACGTTATTATATGTATACTATGTAGGTATATGCTATACTACTTTAATGTTATAATTACTTTTGAATTTTTAATGATATTATATATTTATACTATTATTAATATGGCCATAAAGTAAACTATAATATGTTTATATATATATATATATACCTAATGATTTATTGAACCAAGAATCTTGTTTTAAAATGGCTTATGTTTTCGATATCATACATCACCATGTTTCATAGTATTTAAAAAATATTTTTTTTTACTGGAATTAAAATTTTTATTATACTCATTTTAAAAGTTTTAGTAAAATGCAATGATTGCATACTACACATTATATAAAACTTTTATATTTTAAGATAATAAATAATACACAATATCTGTTACGAATACATTCCTTTATCAACAAAAAATAATATGTATATTCGTTTAACTTTTTTTTAAATACATTTGGTAATTTTTGTTTGTATTTATTATTGCAGGAGCAACCGGTGAAAAAGGATCTATGGGGTCTCCTGGTCAACCTGGCATTACTGGATCAGTAGTAAGTATTATAATCTAATACTTTGGGTAATATAAACTAAAATTTAAAAATATATGTAACTTGTAATTATTGGTATCTAATAATTTATAAATTTATTAGATTTCCAATAACAATAAATTATTTTCATTTGAGATTAACAATTTAAACTATTATTAATAGTGCCTATATGACATAAGTACAATATAATTTATAATAATTTTATAATATAAACAGTAGCTACTCATGGGATTTCCATAAGGTGGTGCACAATAAGCGTATTTCGATATGTACCTATTGTGTCAATGAACACAATTTTTTATGAACATATCAATAATAATGTACTTGGGTTTTTTTTAAACATTTAGAATAATAAAATAAAAATAAATTTAGAAAAATAGTATAATATGCAATATGGTGTGTTGTTATTTTGACGATTGTCGTTATGGCGTAGCATAATAAAAATACATTTTGTGCATGTGAATAATATTAATACGGCCGTTTGGTAGGTATTTTATAAGCTTGTGCTTCACAAAAGTATAGTTTTTTCACACCAGAGCTGCAGAAACTTTTCTTTATTTTTTAATTTTGATCGTGTTTCTTCATCATTGATACCTCACAAACTAGATATATTAAATTTAAATTAAATTATAAAACTTTGCACCTATACGCAAAATGATCTTAAGTTACCAAGAATATTTATTACATTACGTTTATTCATTACTATACGCTCAGAATTTAAAAATATATTTATCATGTTAATAAGTTTTATGAGTTATTTCAAGTTCAGTATGATAATTATTTTTTAAATGTTGTAGAAAAATCATTAAATCAAAGTGTAACAATTTACATAATTTGAACGATTACTAAAACTTTTGTTTCTTATAATACTTTGATCAGTGAAATAATAATTAAAATATGTTAACTTTAACTATACAATATTATGTATAAGTTTTTCTATGCAATTTGTCATTATAGATGTCTTATTATTTACGAATTTTAATGCAGGGTCCTATTGGCGCACGAGGAGAAAGAGGCAGAGAAGGACCTCCTGGACCACCAGGCATTCGAGGTCTGCTTACATTTAATTATAATATAATTAATTAATAAAAACTAAAAATTTTGTAATACTTATGAAGTTTTAGTACAAATCTTACAAGAAAAAATGTTTTAAATATTTTTTTTCCAAAACATGCTGTATTATAAAAGAATTTTATTATTTTAGTAAAACTAATATGTTTTCACAATACGTTAAAAATCTTCAATATTTTTTTTTTATTTAAAAATTTGTAACACCACCAAATCTAATGATATTAACATGGCATATAAATTGATATATATATAGTAATGAAGATAATACATAATTTACTATATTTATTTATTATTTCTTATTTAATCATTAATTATCAATCTCGATAAATTAAATATTTAAATATATAATAAAGTAAATTATTATCTACGTATATGCGTACTAAATTTGAAAATTTAGGTGCTGATGGTTTACCCGGAGCTATTGGTCCTCCAGGAAATATTGGGAAAGCTGGTCCACCAGGATTTCCGGGTTCGGTATGTTATTATACTCATATTACAATAAATGTTTTCATATTAAGTTTTTTTGTTAATTTAATTATTATCAAATATTCTATATTATTTTAAAATTGTTAATAGAACTAATAATTGTATTACATTTAATTGTACGAGTATACTCGTCTCATAATTCTATAAATATAAATATGTTTTTAAGTTAAAAAATTAAATAGACCCATATTTTTAATGTAAAGATTTTTAATTATAGATTGGTGCAAAAGGAGATATAGGTTTACCAGGACCAAAGGTATGTGACGTTCATAGAAATTATAGAAATTAATAATAATTATACTATGGTATATCATTCATGGTGGATATTGTTATTTAAAATCAAATTATTATTATTATTGTTATAAACCTAAAACTAATAAAAAAATATGTCTTTTAATTATTACAGGGTAGTTTCGGTTTGCAAGGACCAAGAGGTGAATCTGGAAAATCTGGTGAAACAGGCGAACCAGGTATGTAAACAATACAATATTTATTGCGTATTATCATAACTTATATATACATTTCAGCCATAAATAATTCATATTTATTATATTTGCTTTAATCTTTAAATTTTAAACCAGCAAGTATTTATAAATGAAATGATAATAAATATTATATGAATTATAAGCTTAAAATAAATTGATTAATATAAAATAAAATGTATAGGTATTCCGGGAACACCAGGAAAAGATGGTAATCCAGGAGAAAAAGGCAGTCCAGGTATTATATATGGTTATTTAGATAAAGTATCAAAATTATCAATACATATTTCGTATAATTAAAAAAATTAAATTATTAGATATTATGATTTATTAAACACAGATTTTAATATTAGTTATTCATAAATTAAGTTTATACAATTAAATTAAAAGTAATATTCAATACAAACCTAATTTTGGAAAATATATATTTTAGGAGCTAGTGGGCCCATTGGTCCATCTGGTTTTCCGGGACCTCGAGGTGCTCCAGGGGAACCAGGTAGTGTTGGACCACCTGGTATAAAAGGAGCTGACGTAAGTTAAAAAACGTATAATTAATTCTAAAAATATTATTAGTACTAATTATATTACTTATTTTTTCTTTAAGGGATTAAATGGCGAACGTGGTTATAAGGGAGAACCAGGAATAAAGGGCGAAACTGGTAAGATGCATTTTTTTTTTAGTATTATATTTAAATGTTTCTTGTTTATATATTTATGTATAATAATTTTTGATAAAATAACTAATTTTAGTTATAAAATAAAATTTTAAATAATATATTGAAATTAATCTATGATTAGGAGCTCCTGGCCCAAGAGGATTGCCTGGTATTGATGGGCCGGAAGGTAAACGAGGCAGAAAAGGTAAATTAAATAAATATTTTTATTTAAAATGATGATGATAAATATGTGTTATTTTAATAAAATATCAAGTTTATTTTTAATCGAAAAAAAACATCAGGTATTCATAATATATTTATGAAAATATTATTTTATTTTATTTAGGTTCTGAAGGTCCTCGAGGATTAACTGGAATTCAAGGTGAACGTGGTTTGCCAGGTAATTTAAAAACTAGATTAATTATATTTTATTATCTAAAAAAATATATTTCTACTTATTATACATAATAATATGTACCTATATATTTTTATTTTCAGGCGAACGTGGATTACCTGGTCCAGACGGATCACCAGGAACCAAAGGTATTAACTTGGATACTATAATATTAATTAATATTAAATGTAAAAATTATAATGACAAACAGTTATGTTTAAATTTACTATATATAAGTATATAATTATTATATATACATTATATTTATGTAGTCAGCATTACACAATATTTTTATATTTTGTAATAGGTTTGACCTATGTAAAAAAATAATTTACTATTGATGATTTTTAGGATCAATGGGTGATCGAGGATCAGAAGGACCTCCTGGTCCAAAAGGTATTATTTATCGGATATAGGATTTGTATGAATAAACAAGTTCAAAATAATTGTAAATTTTGTAGGTGCTGTTGGTGACACTGGAAGACCGGGCATGGCAGGTTTGAAATCTCATAATCTATATCTACTTATAAATATATTTACATATATTATCTAAAATGATACTTAGGTCTTCAAGGATTGAGTGGATCTATAGGTAAGCCAGGACCTCCAGGAAAGCCTGGACCACCAGGTGAACGTGGTATACCTGGTGCAGATGGAAAGGTAAAACTATTGCATTATCGCACAATAAAGCATTTTAAATAACTAATATAAATCATTACTGATAATTCGTAATAACATGTACATAAAAATTATAACAATTTATTTTATTTCGAATTGTAATGTACAAATAAATGTTATGTACTTATAATATTTATGAAATTTATATATCATGTAATGATTGATTTAAAAAATTTTTAATTTTTAGATTGGAGAACCAGGATCACCAGGTCTGCAAGGTTTACCAGGACCAATAGGTCCACCAGGCGATAAAGGTTTAACTGTAAGTATACTTATTGCATAAAAATTGTTTGAAAATTATTGTTGTCAAAATCGTAAATTTTGACATTATTGATAACTATCTAGTCAAATAATATAATACTTGAGAACGTTGGTTATTTAACTTATCAAGAGCATATATTTATAAATTGATAAATCAGAACATTTTGTACTTTGATGCATTGAATAATTAGTTAAATATTTTTGATTGTTTAATAGACAATGGTATCTGTTATGAAGTTTAAGTATTAAGTATATATGACTTTATTTTAGAAAAACAATGAGTGTTAATTTACTGTATGGCAAAGATTAAGTACAAACTAATGATAAATTAAAAAAAATATTAAAATTATTTAAATATCTTTAATATTGTTGACATTTTCTGCATCAATAAGATATTCGATAAAACAAAATCAATACCTATAAAATCAACATCTGAGTTATCAGATATTTTATCTATTTTTAATAACTTTATATCCTTTTTAAGTTTAAACGGTAATAAATATATTATATATATATATAAAATTATAAAAAGTTATTTTTCATTTTTTTTAAATGTATGGTATATTGTCTATGTAAATGATAGTGTTTTCAGAAAATATAAACTTTTCACACTATTTCAAGTTATTTCAATATAAAAATTTTATCATTTAATATTTAAAAGTTAAATGTTAAAAAATTAAAAATATATACTTGTTTCCAAAATGTGAAGAATTTATTTAAATTACGTGATAAAAATGGTTTTAAAAAACATATCAATTTTCTTATTAAAGAATCACTATGTTTTGTATAAATGTATAACAAATTGTACATAATACAATATATAAAACATACTTATATTCTATAAATATATTATACTACCTATGGAAATAATTAATTTTATTAAAACAGGGAGAACCAGGAGCAGCTGGTGAAGTCGGACCTCCTGGAGCACCAGGTTTGTATGAATTTAATTTATAATAAAAAATGACAATTGAGTAAAAAAATAGAAATCCTAAACCTTTAATAAAAACATTTTTTTTTTTTTTTTTTATTCGTCATAATTTTTATTTGTACCTATACGTATACAAAAATAATTTATTAATACTCATAATGTGCATTAAAACACCTATACCGAAATGTAGCTAAAATGCCTACTCTTAGCGCCGTCTACTACTCATTTTTATAATTATATAATAATACTTAATAATAATATTATTGTCAGATAATTCATAGTGTACTATTCTAGTATAATATCAATGTGTTATTGCTATTTATGAGTAATTGATTTATTCAGCCCGATAACTGCCCATTAACTGACAACTGATATAAAAACAAACCACTTGTACATTAACTAGAGTATTTATTAAAAAAAACAATACATTTTACCATTTATAAAGCGCGCTTTAAAGTTAACGTCATAGTATTTAACAGTACCGTGTTAGATATGTATATTATAGTTAAATTATTATAGGGGCTTAGTTTATAAATAGCATAATATTTTGAGAATCACTGTTAAGTGTTAGTGTGTCGGAAAATCATTAAACGTTGACTATGCTATTTTTATACTACATAGTTAGCTCTAATCACACGCATTTAATTAAAAGTTTATACAGTTGAAAATTTTGAGTAAATTGTCTACAATTATGTAAGAAAAATTACTTTACTATGGTTCAATTCTATTATTCAGCTAGTTAAAAATTAAATTGTATAATATGAATTTAATATTTTATTTTATAGGACCCAAAGGTGATTTAGGAAAAGAAGGACCTCCAGGCAATCCTGGTAAGTATAATACCATAATTTTACTATTTTATGTATAGGTACTAGATAGTAAACTCTAAAATTCTAAATAGTTATATATATTATTATTCTCAATAGTACATATTTCTAAAAAAGTAACAACATTTATTAGATTATATAATTGTAAATTATAAGATATTTATAACATATTTTAACTTTTTTTTTTTAATTGTATTCATATCATTCAGTTATATTACTATCAAATTGCATAATTTAATACATATTTGATATTTGAAGGTATACCTGGTAAGCCAGGGTTGGATGGTGAGAGAGGAGCAGTTGGTCCACCCGGGTCTATTGGTTCACAAGTTAGTACTGATTAGAGTATACTTAAAATTGAGATTAAATATGTACTATGTACATAATATATTCAATACTTAAATTGCACATTTCTTTAATTTAGGGTGTACCAGGAGTACCTGGTAATCCGGGCCAACCTGGTAAAGATGGAGAACAAGGTAAATTTATTGAATAATTAATTTTATTTCGAATTTAATAACACATTATGTTTATTTTTGTATTTTTTATATAGGCCAACAAGGATATGCAGGAAAAGCGGGTGAACCAGGAACTAGAGGTGAACGTGGATTTCCCGGTTAGTATATGATAATTATTTTATAATAATAATTCTAAAAATATTTATTTAGTTTTATAAGTTTACTCATATTAAGTTTTTGTGTTAAAATTATTTAAACTAAAAACTATTAATATTTGATTATAAAATATATACCAAATAATAATAAGAAGTAGTGATTAATTTTTATTATATAATATTTTGATATAATCTGTTAAAAATAAATTTTAGGTGAGAGAGGCCCTATTGGTCATCCAGGACTACAAGGAGTTAAAGGAGAACCAGGAATAGCTGGTCCTGATGGGCCAACCGTAAGTCTTTTATTTGAAAATTTATCACTTAATGCTAAATATGAACAATATAATAAGCTATCTAAATTTAATTAAACATATTTTGTACATTCTAGGGACTACAAGGAATTAAAGGTGACAAAGGACATTCAGGATCACCAGGACTAATGGTAAATTTAAATACATTTTCTAATCATTCAAATTTTTTTATTCATAAATGTATAAATGTATAGACTATAGTTTTTTTTTTTTATTACAAATATTATTCATTTGTTATAATAAAAGTAATGAATATTTGGTACAAGTATATTATACTAGTAAAATAATTTATAACTATAGTTATTTTTTTTTTTTTTTTTTGAGAAATATAAATGACACAAATGTATTTTACATAATATATATTTAGGGTATACCTGGGTTAAGAGGTGATCAAGGACCATCTGGTTTGAAAGGGGAACGAGGTGTGTAGTTTATTTTAATAATGTATTGTAAACTTTAAATCCTAAAATTAATTATCTATTATTATAGGTTCTACTGGAGCACAAGGACCATCAGGTTCACCGGGTAAATGTTTAAAATTATTTATTAATGTTTAATATTGTAATAATTCAAATTTAAAAGATTTAGGTAATGTAGAGTTAACATTATTTGTTTTAAAATATTACTAAATTTTTATTATTTAATAAGTAAAATGCACACAGTTGGCTCACATTTAATAACCTGGATAAAAAAATTAATTAATAATTATTTTTAAATTATCAAATCATAGAAACTAAATACGTATAATAAATTATTATTATATAATTATTTAATTTGTCTCAATTAAATTCTAGTTTGTTGTTAAAATAAAATATATCTACTAAAACTAATAACTAACAATTTAAAAATTAATTAATAAAGGTCCTGCCGGAGAAAGAGGGCCTCAAGGGTTTGTTGGTCCAATTGGTCCACCTGGTGAACCAGCTGAACGAGGTGAGCCCGGATCTACAGGACCACCAGGAGAACCCGGTGCACCAGGTTGGTATAACATAAATCAAAATTAAAAATTGTGAAATAGCATGTATTATATAACAACTTTAATATCTACTTATCTACAGAGAAAATTTGAAAATTATTTTATTTTCATTAAATACTTTTTTAGGCACACCTGGCGAGAGAGGGCCATTTGGACCTCAAGGTGTTCAAGGCTTCCCTGGATCACCAGGATCAGTAGGTATGACTATTGAGTATATTATAGCATATAAAAGAAAGTTATTAAAAATACATTATTTTAAAATATTACATAGGTATGCCAGGTCCAAAAGGTGATAGAGGAGATATAGGTTAGTATCTTAATTAATTACAAGTAAAAATTATAATTACAATGTTATTCAGTGTTAAAAAAATGTATTGAATACAGGAATGAAAGGCGAGCAAGGAAATCCCGGACCAATTGGAAAAATGGGAGAACCTGGCCTTACCGGTGCTGTGGGTTTAATTGGTCCAAAAGGTGATTATTTATATTGAATAAGAATGTAAGATTATTTCTTAAAACGTATCTATTTATTTAGTGTTAGATGTATAATTGTATATATAGGTACTCGTAAATATACATAGTTGTAAAGATTCAGACCATTCTTAAATTGAAATATTTTAATTAACTACAATAGATTAATTGTAAATAGAAAAGGTATACAATAAACATGTTCATACACATATCGTACCTACGTTTTATAATGGTAACGATTATTTGTGAAATATTTTCCTAACAATAAACCACCCAACTCTTAATGAAAAGAATTGGCATCAAGCGGATACGATTTTTATAAATGCATAGCAATATAATTTATCCAATTTATGATTATTTAAATTTTTTTTTTAATTTTAGGTAGTCGCGGAGATCAAGGTAGTAAGGGTGATATAGGGTTAATGGGAATACCCGGTAGAGTTGGAGAACGAGGGCCACAAGTAAAAATAATTACCTACCTATAAATTGATTCATTATTTATACATTTATTAATAACTTGCATAAATTATATTATTATAACACTTTAGGGATATCCTGGGCCAACTGGACCTCCAGGACCACCAGGTATTACATAATAGTAGTGAAGCATGATATAAAAACTGTTAGATTCCATATTAAAAGCAGACATTATGTTATTTTCAATATAGGTTTGGTTGGAGCAAAAGGATGGCAAGGTGAACCGGGTAAACAGGGCATGCCAGGAAATGTTGGAGCACCAGGTTTACGTGGATTAGATGGTAATATGCGATTTTAGCAAATAATTAATAAACATACTAAAAAAAAAAAATTAATAAAATTGATAACAATAGCTCAAATTTTATAATTATGTACCAGCTATTCTTACTCAATCAAAATAAATACATATAATTAATGTTAAATTTGATAGTGAAAAATAAAATACAATAAAATTGTAGGTCCCAAAGGTGAAACTGGTGCAGATGGAGCTCCTGGACCCCCAGGACCAATTGGTCCCCAAGGAGCTGTAGGAGAAAGGTGATTATAGTATATTTATATTTATTTTACATTTTTTATTTCATGAAGGTACCTAACTAAAAAATTATCTCGTACAAAGATAAAAAACAAAATTGGTTTTAAGTATAACCTTTTATATTTTGAACATATTTTTACTATATTATTTCAGAGGATTAACAGGAGTTCCAGGCAGTCAAGGACCAATCGGAATGCGAGGAACACAAGGACTACCAGTAAGTATAATAATTATATTTTATTGTGTTGCTCAATAGATGACAACATTTGAACTGTAATTTTTTCTTGCTTTATTTCTTTTAAAATATTTAACATTATTACTTCTGTTTAAAAGGTATTTAAAAAAATTATACTTGCATTTTTTTAATCGTCGTTATCTATATAGCGGTATAGATAATCATGGTTTTGAAATAATTTTAATTTAAACATTTGAATAAAAATTTAGAACATCTTGGTTTACAAATCCATATATTTTCTATATATGTTTATAATCTAATACTCATATTCATCGTGTTATCATCATTTATTATTTATTGTTTTATACTAATGTATTTAAATTTATTAAAAGGGCGAAAAGGGATCTCCAGGAAAACCAGGATCAGATGGTTCACAGGTACTATATCTACTGAATATTACATTTGAATTTAAATTAATAAATTGCATAATATTATTTAGGGAATTCAAGGTTTATCCGGTCCTCCAGGTCCACCGGGACCTCAAGGTTTGTAATTTATAAAATTTTTAATACTTATTAATACTATAATATGTTAATATGATGTTTTACAGTTATTTGTTATCTGTAAATAAAATTAGGAATTAATAATTATATACTATTTATATATTTTGTAGGTGAAAGAGGTCAAGATGGAGCTACTGGTTTACCTGGAGCACCAGGAATCAGCGGAAGACCAGGAGATAAAGGTTAGAATCTTAATTAATTCTGATCTTATAACTTAAGATAGAAAATGTACCAATGATTTAAAAATTCACTAAACATTACTTAAAAACTGGAGAAAAAAATAACAATTTTATTTTGTAAATCATACATATAACTACATTACGGCCGAGTTATTGATTATAAATACTCATTTAAAAATAGTCAATGGTTTAATTGCCTCTATTATTAATTAATAATTATTATACATTATTTTTCAATTAAATATCAAATATTCTCAAAATAAGAACTTAAAATATCTATAAAAAATAAAACATATCATTATTTAAGTTACACTATTTTTTAAACTTCGGTATCAAAATAAAAATGTTATTAATTGTCAACTACATTTAACGCATTTAAAAAATATATTAGTTACTGTATATTCGATATTTTTTTTAACCTGTAAGAAAAAACTAAAAAGTTGATAATTTCAACGAAAAATACATTATAAAACCAATACATTCATTTCTCTGATTAGAATCTGAAATCTATTTTAATTTAAAAATTTTAAAAATTAACATAGTTTATATTTAAATATATAGTTTAGGTATACATGGTATTATTATGTGAGAGTAAATAAAAATATGAAAAATGCAATTTAAAAATTACGTATTTTCAATCGTTGAACAACAAAAGAAATTAGTTTCTTTTCAGCATTTTATTTGTATCTATCACTTTTGCATGAAAAAATATATAAAATTTATCAAAATAATTTTTTTTTTATTAACCTATTTATTTATTCAATAAATTAATTTTTACGTTAAATAATATTATTTCAGGTCCACCAGGATCACCTGGTAATCTAGGTAGTCCAGGATCACCAGGAATGATTGTAAGTTATATATTATTACCAAAAAATATATACCTACACGTATTTATTTATCGATTATTACATTAAAATGTAGGGTCCACAAGGATTACCTGGTCCAATCGGGAACCCAGGCGAACGAGGTTTACGTGGTGAAAATGGCCCTCAAGGTGTAGAAGGACCTCCTGTAAGTTAAAGTACCTAATTCATTTAATTAGTTTCCACATCCGCATATGTAAGCTTTTATTGTAGTATACTTTAATTTTAGGGTCAAAGAGGTAAAGCAGGCCCTCCTGGAGTTCAAGGAGAAAAGGGAGATAAAGGAGAAATAGGTCCTGAAGGGATGAAAGGTATTGTATTACATTAGAATACTATATTACACGTAGTAGGCATTAATTAGTATTTCTAAAACAATATATTCATGACATGCAATTAAATAATATATTTTGCTTAGTTTAGATAATGCATTATGATTTATGATTTTATGATTTATACAGGTCATAAGGGCCTAATGGGCTTACAAGGACTACCAGGTGCCCCAGGAGCTGATGGTCAAAAGGGTAAAAATTTTAACAATTAAAGATTATTTAAAAAAACAGCCATAACTAGATCAACATTGCTGTATGCTATTTAAAACAAAATATATTTTATAATTTATTATTTTTATTAGGTAATATTGGGTATCCTGGACCCCCTGGACCTGTTGGTGATCCAGGATCAAAAGGTAATAGTAGCTCTATTTAATATTAGAATAATAGGTTTTGTGTAATTAAAAATAATTCTTAATTTTTATTAGGGCCCCCGGGACAAGATGGAAATCCTGGGTTACCAGGTTTAGCAGGACAACCGGGTCCTAGGGGTAAGAATATCATTGTTATTTGACTCTTTAAATGTAAAAAAATAAATCATGATAAATATTTAAGGACTAACTGGTGAACGAGGTTCTGATGGAATACCAGGAGCACCTGGTTTACCTGGACCACCCGGACCTCCAGGTGAAGCATTGGCTTATGATATGGCTGCGCTTTCCGCATTATTAACTCAAGGACATAACAAGGTAGAATTAAAATTAATTATTTTTTTTAAGATATTAACTTATAATTGGAATAGGGACCAAATGATGGTACACATCAAGATCAACCCGAAATGACAGAAACGGAAAGACGTGAATTAATATTCAATGCGTATAAAAAATTGAAAACGTCATTTGAGAAGTTTAAGAAACCAAACGGTGAAAAAGATAGCCCAGCCAAGACATGTAAAGATTTATATGCAGCTTATCCTTCTCTTGAAAGCGGTAGGAAATTTTTTTTTTAATAATTTTTATACGATTGATAAAATACAAACGATTTTAGGAGAATATTGGGTGGATCCCAATGAAGGAGATGTTCGTGACGCGGTGCTCGTACGATGTGATCACATTACAAAGAGTACATGTATAAAACCTCAGCCAGATCATATAGGACCAATAGATTTTGCCGATTTTGGAAATAGAAATCATCAATCTGAAATTTGGTTATCTGAATTTGGAAATACTGGACAGGTTGTAAATAGTGTAAACAATCACAGCCAATTCTAATTAAATGCCTTCTTTTAGATATCATATAAAGCTGATAGCAATCAAATCACTTTTTTACAACTATTATCGGAATCAGCTACTCAAAATTTAACATATCACTGTAAAAAATCAATTGGCTATTTTGATGTGGAAAACAAATCATACAAAAAAGGATTGAAACTAGTTGGATTTAACGATGCCGATATTACTCCTAGAGGGAATCCAAAAATGAAATACTCTGCTATTGAAGATGAATGCAAGGTAATTGTATATTTTGTAAATGATAGTTATACTATACATATTTTACAATTAATATTTCATAATTTCTGTTTTTTTTTTTTTGTAGACTCGGTCAGACGAATGGAAAAAAACAACAATTTCATATACAACTGATCGCCCGTCTCGCTTACCAATTGTTGATGTTGTTCTACGAGACTTTAATGAAAATGGTCAAAGTTTTAGCATACATTTAAGTTCAGTGTGTTTTGTATAAATAATAATAAAAAAAAATAAAAAACAATAACTCAGTTAGATTTCTTTAAATACTTAGCACATTCAATTAATTAAACACAATAATATTTAAAAATAAATTAGTCTAGAACTGAAATAGTTAAGTAAATAATATAAAACTAAAATGATGGGATAGTTAACATAGTTTTTTTGATTAGGTCAATAAAACAACAGTAGAAGTTTAAAACATGATGCTAAGTGGTATTAGTGGTAAAACAAAGACAATTTTGAGCAATCACAATAAATTGTTATTGTTACTCAAAATCTTTTAGGGTTCTTCTTTTACATTTATCACTCATGAGTCATGAATCATGATTAAAAATTAACAAGTTAACAGACTTCTATGTGGTATGAATGTATGATGAAGAATGAGAAAAGTCATATGTCATGACTTGAATCATTTGAATTTTAAATTATATCACAAAATATAAATAACTACAGGGTAAAATGTAATTTAGGTACTTACACTTGCATCAAGAGGTACAAAAATTTCCATAAAAATAGCAGAGTAGGTATCAGCTACTTTCAATTCTATAATTGTTAACAATTAAAATTTTTTCAGAATTTCGAGTTTTAAAATGGTTAAGTACTCAAAAGGTACTCAAATACTGTGGCAGAGCAAACTTTATTTGTCAAAGAAAAATTTAATTGCATCACTCACATATTATCATATTCACTTAGAACACTTTGGTTGTAGGATGGCTTTGCTTTTCATCCCTACCACAAACCGTGTATCATAATTGCATGGTAAATCTATTCTAGTAAAATGATTCTATTACCTATTATTATAATTCAATACAAATTTATAAGGTTTAACTTAAGGATAATAATATGGTATTACTTCAAGAGAATAAATAAATGCTTATTTTTATACATTTAAACTGAAAATTTAAACTTATACTTCACAAACAACTGATTTAAATTGTCTCATTTCACTTACCAATTATAGATGTTATTTTATGAGAACGTGTATTGGTCAAGGTTTGAGTATATATTTAAGTCCAGTGTTTTTTGTATAAAGAAAACAAAACATTAATTATTTGGCCAGTTTTCTTTAAATAGCACAACAAACCAGTTAAACACAATATTTTTTATATCATAAAATTATTAAAAAAAAAATTAATTTATAATATAAAATAGTAAAAATAAAGTAAAAACTAAAATGGTAGGGCAGTTAACATTTTTTAAAATTTGGTCAATGAAACAATAGAAGCTTAAAACTATGTATAAGCTTATGAATTTAGGAAAACAAAATGTTGTAAAAGTAACTTAAACTATGGTCAAATTTTTAAGGCGCCCATAAAAAAGAATATTTAATAACTAAATTGAGTAAATTCTATAGTTTTTAACTAAAGTATTAGAAATAACTTAACTTAATAAATAAATTACTTGATAAACAACCATAATATTTTATGGACGCCTCATATTATTTTTTTTTTATACATTACACATTTAATTCATAATTATATATATGCATATGTATATGTAAATATTATATATTAAAAAATGTCTTTTTTTTATTGAAACATATATTTTTTCATACTTTTAGACTAATTTATTATGATAAAATAAAGAGTAGTTGTGAAACAAATAGTTTTAAGTAGGTAATATTTTGTTCAAGTGTTACATAAATATTAGGAAGATATTTAATAATTATATAAATATTTGTTTTGTTCTATATAAATAAAATATTTGGTGGGAAAAAATATCATGCAAACAAAGGCAGATGGTATATAAAAATATACATGATATATAATAATAAAATAATGAGCAAAAATCATATTAAGGAAAACATGTCAAATAAAAAAAATTAAACTTTCATTAATTTTTTCAATTAATTTTTACTCATACATTAAACAATATATATTATTTTTATTAAAAAAAAACCCAACCTAAAAAAAAATTTGATAAGTGTCATAATAATTTACTTGATTTTAGATTCATAATTAAGGAACTTTATAAAGAAAGAGATATCATAATATGTGCAATATTGATAAAACATGAGATACACAAGTCATAGAAATTTGTAAAAAAAATGCTTATAGTATGGAATGAAAAAAATATTATATATAAATGTCAAATTATATTCTGCCTTTGTCTGTGATCAGCACCTCACATAGGGTGATTGTACAACTATAAAGTTTTATATATATTCAATCACTTTGGTTCCATTCGGCTATGTACAAAAATTAAAAATAATAATAATATATAAATAAATTTAATAGTTTCTAACCACGATGATAAGAATACCGAATATTTCGGACTGCCGTTATCAACTTTTTGGTTTAGGGCTGCCAAATTTACTTGACAACTAAAAAAATAAAAAAATATATTAATTGATCAAGTATTTTAATTATAATATGATTATAATATATATATATATATATATATACACACAGAAAAATTGTAAAGTACCTCAAACTCATGAAATTTTAAACTTAGTATTAAATATTCTAATCAGAATTTAGATAATGAAATTATTACTAATCATTATTATTACTGGAGTAAACTCTGTCTAACGAGAGAACATGCCATAGTTTGACAAAAATCAGATTTTCTAAGCATTCATATGCGACACCCTGTCATAATGGAATTACGACTCGATAGCAGGATGTTATGTGTGAATGTGTGCAATAGGTATGTTCTCTTTTTGAATAAAATATTGATTTCAAATCACCCATTTCTCTCACAAATGTCCAAAAAGATTTTCTAAATAGTAATTATAGATGGGTTAATCCTTTTAACCTTTATTTTATTTCATATAGAATTGAATTATTTAATTAGTCCCTAATTAAATTTATGCTCTTATAAATTGAAAAAAAAAACAATAATAATATTATATTTCAAGTGCCTTAAGAAAATGTAATTTAGTGATTTAACTATATGTAAGGTTAGCTAATGTAACAATAGTCAATTTCACATTTTCACAATTAAGAAATCATCTGTTATTAGGATAAAGATAAGTGTTGGAGAATAAGTAAATTGGGCTAGCCAAAAATACAGTACAAAAATAAAATGATGGATAATGCACTCTTATTAATACATAGTATCACATAAACCTAAAGACTTAATATGTTCAAAAATATATAAGAAAATCAGGTTACCTATATTTCTTTTAAAATTTGTTTATGTGCAATAAAAATTTTAACTAAAATTTGATCAAGCCACTTCTTAATAAAACTTAAAAATAGTTATGATTTATAGAATTAAGCTTACTATCACACTTTATGCTGTGGCTGATGCCTCATTGGAAATGCGTTTCGGCGATCTGAATGACCATGTGCAGGGGGTGCAGAAGCTAAAAAATAAAAAAATAAAAAACCGGTATACAAAATTATTTCAATTATGTACTACCTCTTGGTGCATAATAATGACCTCTACCCTCACCATATCCATGAGCTGGAACTCTACTTGATCTGGGTTGTGATACATATGTTTGAGGATTGTGCCGCTGTATAAAAACATAGTTTTAGTTTTAAGTACATTATCAAAGTTGTAATATCAAAATATTACCATTCTACGTAAAGTGGTAATGGGCCGCCTTAATGTTTCACTAAATCTTCGAGCAGGAGTTTTCTTAGGATTTGACGATGGCGTGTGTACTGCACAACATTTTATGAATACTCCCATTATAATTACAAATGTAACACCCATAAGCATACAAGCCCACCAATTTTCCTAAAAATAAAGAAAAATTAAATATATTGTATGTCATTGCTAGTTAATCTTGTAATATTGTAACTAGTATTTATAAATAATGTTAACATATTATATTTGATATGATTTCTATAAATTAAAACTTACTAAAGCCCATTGTTGAAGAGTTTGAAGTGTTTGTTTATTGAGGAGCATATTTTTTAATCTTGCTAATGGACCTTCGGCATCAACTGCTCTACATTTGTAAAATACATCACAGTAACCCTAAAGAAATTATATTATTAAGTAATTTCATAATTATAAAGTAATTTATGATAATTAATAATTTACTTGGAAATTATCACAAGGTGATCCAGGCCTTAGACTAATGCCACCAAGTGGTAAATTAACTGCAGCAGCAAATTCACTAGTTGACCTGCATGTTTGTAAATCAGTACCATTCATACAAGCCAACTCACACAACTTGCGTTTGTCAATATTAGGTATAATTTGTGATGTCAAAAAACATTCGTTTAGACCCCACTCCAAACAAATAGATCCAGTGCAATCGCCATTGATGCATAGCTTAAATAAAAAAATTTTCAATAACATTTTAAATTTAACTCCAGTTAATAATCAACTTTATTTACTAACCTGTGTTCCTTCATTACAACGAGTTTTATTAGGTTTAGGAGGTGGTACCGGACATTCTGGTGTAGTACCATCACAATAAGAACTATAACTACAAACATCTTCACCACGACACATAACTAATCGATTAGATGGAATAAAACGGCAGGTATCAGCATAACAGCATGGTCCTTGAGAAGGGCTAAAAATTAAATATTATTAAAATAAAATTAGTTATTAATTAATAATTAATAGTTTATATTGGCACATACCTGCACTCAGTTTGTGCACGTCTAGCACAGCCTCTAGCTGAGATATTGCGGAATCTATCTCGATCAGCGACTTGCCTGGGATAGCAACATTTATCATCACATTCATCATCATCATATCCACAATCACATTCTTCACCATTTTCAACAATTTTGTTACCACAAAATGCCCCTTCACTGGCTGTATAAATATTTATAGTTAATATTTAATTATTATAAATGTTTTTTTTTTTACAAACCTTTAAAGCAATTCCTTTTTTTATTATCTTGTATAGCATCTAATACACTACTGATATTAGCTATACTGCATGAAGAAAATTTACTGTTGTTTGGACGGTCACCGCTAGTTGCAGATGCAAACATAATATAATTACCACTCAAACCACCTGGCCGACAATCTGAAGGATAATCATGCTGTAAATAAAAACATTTTTAAAAAACTAGAAATTTTTCATTTAATGTGCTTTACAAACCGGCG